AGAAAACCAACGGCATTCGCATATCTCTTCCAGTTTTAACTGAGCCTGAATAAATGTGTGCCAATAAAGACTTTAGTGCAACTTTTTGTACTCTTGGGCATTACTATAACTAACGGGGACCTGGAGCCTATCCCAGCTTCCATAGGCTGAGAGGCGGGGTACACTCTGGACAAGCTGCCAGTCTATCGCAGGGCTAACACACACACAATTCACACTCACATTCACACCTATGGGCAATTAAGAATCACTAATTATTCTAAACCATCTAACTGCAAGTATTTGGACTGCAGGAGGGAACCCACACAGACACAAAAAGAACACACAAACACTACACAGTAAGGGCCCAGCCAAATGGGGACTTTCTTGCTGTGAGGCTTCCTGGTTATTAATTTACTAAACACACCAATTAAATTAGTAATAAAATTATATATTTATGTATTCTTTTTCTTTGCAAGCTACTTATTAATTGTATAAGACAAAGTAATTACAGGCAGTATTAATGTCATAGTTTATCAACACTTATTTTTAGATATGCATGAGGGCATGTTCCAAAAATATTTAGCAAAATGTTTTAACAAACAACAATGTGACATATACAACATGTCAACAACGTACACGTAACATAGATGTAAAGTTGCCATTTGTTTATTAAATATGACTTGTAAGGATTTTAGTGTCATGAAAATAATAGCCAAAAGATAAAAGTTGTATGATTCGCATTACTCTACTGGAGAAAAATAGTATCTATTCTATTCTGTTCTCTTTTGCCAAATTGTTGCTCAAATTCAGCCTTAAGAACTATTCACTCATAGTTTCCTGTTTCCATGACACCATTTTTTTTTACTCGGCTGCTGAGTTAATTCAAAAAACCATCTCTTTAAATAATTCCATAGGCTTGACTGATGCTGACAATGTCAACTAAAAGAACCATTTGTCACAACAACCTTTGAATCCACTTTAATCTATCATGTAATGACTAGATGTCTTGCCATAAAATATGATACTGACAGTCCTGCATTTTAACTGACTAGCTTTGAGCTAGTTTAAATATTAAAAATGTTAATATTACAGCAGATTCTTAAATCATTCTACACCTTGATATAAGGCATATAAGTATATAGAATACACAGCATGCAAGGAAAAATATTCCTGCGATGTTATTTCACTGGTTCACAAGTGGAGGTAAGGTGGTAAAGAACAAGGTCGCTAAATGTTAAAAACATGTTGGCTTGAAATTGTTTTTCTTCCAGATGTTTAATGAGGAATTATACAACTATGTAAACAAAAGTTTGCTCACACCTACTCATTCTAGGAGTTTTTCTTTCCTTGACAGCTATTTTATCTCTTAAGGAAATTATCATCACATAAGGCCTTATGCGGCAATTAAAAAACAAAAAAACCCCAACAAAACAATGTATCCACTGCTTGGATACGCTGACGTTTGATGGCAGTTTTATAGATAATTGGAAATATCTTACCCTCATGAACATGTGTGCCTTGTCAGAAATTAATTGGTATGATTCCTTGCTTTCTTAATATCCTTTAGACCATTAGTTTTGTTGTGCAATTTTGAAATTTTTGGGTCCAGCCTTGTGTGTCTGTGAAATTTGGAAAGGGTAAATTGATGGCAGCTGCATGTGAGGTTCCTCTTTTGAAACATGACACATCCCATCTGGTTTGCGTTTAATGGAACCATCATTTGTTTTTCAGGACAAATGACCCAAAAACAGATCACCAGACTGCATGGGTCATTTGACCAAGAGGGAGATTTATTGCGTGTGACACAAGATGACCGATCCTACAAAATCAAAAGACCTAAAGATTAGGGATAAGTTTGATCAATGACTGAAGTAAAAACAATTCACAGACTATGTTAACTCGATTTTGTAAAATTTGGTTATTCTAAAGCTGAGGCTGTATCACAAGTTTGAGCTCTTGTTGGAAGAGTTGGGATCTGAGGAGGCAGAGAAATAATTTCAGAGAGCTGATCGACTTGGAGTCTAGCTGTGTTTGAGGTAAAATAGCATTATTTTGGTATTTCCATATTATTGTATTTTTCATACTGGTGCATGTTTTTTGTTTTTTTTTGCTAAATTACTCAGCTGGTGTGAATAGCTGCCTTAAGCATGGGTGAGTCCAAAACACATTTTTAATACACAAAATATTCTCACAGATTTTACTTGTCCTGTGTGCAAAGGCTTTTAGTATCAGAAAGGAAGATTATCCAGGCTATGCTCATGTTGCACAGTCAGGTCAACCCCTCACATCAAAACACAAAGATTGCAATCGTTAAAACTATGCACAGTAAATATTTTTGAGATTTGTTTCAAAAATTACAACTGAGCTACCATTTGCTAAATAATATAAAGGGACTATCCACTTAGCTGGCCATTGCGGTCCAATGCCATCCTGTAAATGTGACCCAGGCCTGACACCAGGGCATGGCAGTAAAGATGGGCAATGAAGCTTAGCTTTTAGGGCTACAGTGTGGGCTTTAAATGTGCTAAACAGAATGTGGCATTTTGAGGTGTGTACGTGTGTGTGCTGTCAATTGTGTGTATGTAGGTGCAGAGTGATGGTGGGTGTTGCTCTATTTACTGGGCATTCTGCCTCTAGAAACAGCCCTTGTCTTCACCTCAGAACAACAGGAGACATGACAGCCATACGGTCCCTCTGCAGCTGGCTAATTGTGTGCAACATGTCTGTGGAGTGGAATGCTTCTAGCCCACCGCCTACCCCACTTCTTCATGACTGTCCTGATGATAAAAGCTTGCTGGTTACACAGAACAATAACCATTTAGGTAAGGTATGATTCACAAGGTGTTCTTTGGCTGAGATACCGCACAGGAGCTACAGAACATAATGGTGGAGCCCAACACTGTAAGGTTAGATTCTCCAAAACTGTGAACATAATCATCTTTTATTTGCTACACAGTGTACTACCCACGATGGAATAACACTGAGCAAAATGATGATTCATAAGTGTCTGAAATCGCAGTGTACCACTCTGCAGAGTGTGACTGTAGACAAACTGAACATAACAGTTCAGACATCAAAGTATTCTGGTCAGATTTCAAGGCCAAGCAGACATTCAAGGACCTCAATATTATGAATTTTAATGGATTTTCATGACTGCCCAGTGACAATATGCAAAATAAATAAATAATTACATCTAAGCATAAGTATGGTCACTGGAAGATAAACACACGTTCTTGTCTTTTGGGGTAAATGTAATCATGGCAAAATTTTTTTTGCCAATCATCCATACTGATTACAATAACACTGTAATTACCACTATATAAGGAAGTACAGAATAATACTGTATTTGTAATACATGCAATGAAAACACAGTAATCAAAACTGGATAATGTTTATTGTTATTTAATTTAATTATTTAATAATTTCTGATTCTGCCTAGTGAATTGTAACAGAAGCCACATGTGCTACAATTAAGTATTTTTCTATTTTTGTATTGACATAAAAATAATCCATTTGCAGGTATGTTTAGATCATGTGACCTTAAACAATGCCATACCTATACTGCCATACCCATTAAGGCTACCACAGGACTTCCCATGATGAACTGAATACTCCTTTATTCTTTGTTTTCACTTCCTGTGCATGTACAGTTCATGGTAAACATTCATGGTAAACATTCAACACAATATCATGGCAAAGCATATAAGCTGGTCTACTGTGTACACACTTTGACTCTCCAAAATGTGAAATGGGAAGTTGCAGTAATTTGCAGTAAGCTGCAGTACCAGCAGAGGAAGCTATTTTATTTTTATTTTATTCTAATTTTATTTCAACCCAACATGAAAATAATCACAAGAAACAGACATTACTAACAAATTTAGATATAAATGCATATTAGCCACCTAGCGTAATTGTAGCATAGAACTGAAACACTAATTGAATAGTTCCGTTGGCTTTGGTATACACTGGGAACATGTCATTGAAAAGCAATGAAATAGCTGACCTTGCATATCAGTCTGTGCCTCCCATGTTTGCTCTCTTTGCAGACATTTCCATACTTTTTACTCCTCATCACTTTGAAGCTTTCAGAAAGATTTAACGTAACAAGTTGTAACAAAGAAACAATTCACCCTGTACATTATGTAAAATGAATGTGGTATAACCCTGTTTATGATCTTTGATGTTACACTAGTGGTGGTGCTTTAGAGTCTGGAAGTGCCTCTAAGATTTAAATCTTCCCATTGCAGACATCTTTAAATACTAGATGAAAGTTTCCAATTTGGGAGGGTAAGTTTTGATCTTTGTTTATTCATGTGGTGCTTTGGTAGATGTTATTCAGTTTGTATGCCATAATTGTGTTCTTGTTATTCAATCAAAGTTTCAGTTTCAACTGTGATTTGGTTCATGGCTAAATACCAGCAATGACATCTCATTAGCCTTGGCTAGAAAGCATGAAAAATGTGTTAACATTTCCCTCTTCCCTATGGTTATGCAAAATTTTAGCTCTGAATACAACTATCACTAAATATTCTGCAGTATGTTGCTGCTTTTTATCAATAACTGTATATGTGTTAGACCAAAGGCCTGTAGTCCACATAAACACTGGTTTATCTCACTATTTCTTTCTCCCATAAATGGAATGCTCTGTGCAGATTTACAGCTGTTCCATATTTTTTCCTGGATTTTTCAAACGTCTGACCTCAACTTTCTCCATGGGATGTTTATTGCCATGAATTTCTTTGTGTCCTTCTCTGTTGATTAGTAATTTCCGCCAACCTTGGAACAGACTTGTTTGGTATGTAACCTTTTACAGGAGTTGATCTTGTAGACATAAACCAAATTACTTATTGAGCCATGGTTCTACATATGTGCAATATAATAAATTGCTCAATTCGGTTCAGTTTTATTTCTGTTGCACCAAATCACAACAACAGTTGTATCAATGTCACACAGTGGAAATTTGTATTTATCTTGTATATTGTTTTTATTCTGATTGTTAGTGTTTATTTATGAGTGTTTTATTTGCATGGTTTTATTCTGTTTCTATTGCATGGTTTTTAGTGTTTTATGTGACATGGTTTTTATCCACTGTGGACTGGCTGCACATGGGACAAATTAGCTGATAGGGACCACCTGCTGAGGCAGGGGTGTGTCCAGAGGTGGCCTATCAGCTGTGTAAAGACCTTTTAAAAACAGGCTAGCTGGGCACTGAAAGAGAGAGGCCCCAGACTGGAAGGTTAATGCGAGATGGCAAGTGTGATGCGGCGACCAAGTCCTGACCTCATGGAACGGCAACAGTAAGAGACAACGCGTGTGATTGGCAGCAGGGCAGAGGTTTACCTCTGCCTGCATTTGTAAGTAGGGTCTCTACTGTTGTTTACTGGGTGCAGCTGGATTGGGAGAGGGTCACCATGGCATGAGCCAGGGCCGCTTCTGGGACCATTGTTCTGGCCCCTATTTGTTATGTTGCAGGACACCGACGCAAGGGGAGCTGTGGCAGTGGTCGCATCATGGATTCGGGTGCAGAACGCAAGCCGGGCTGGGAAGCGATGGGCCAGCGGAAGGACAAGAAGATGGGTGGCTCTTTCTTGTCTGCTGAAGACGGGGCTGGCGTGGACTCTGCTCTAAAGGAGGAATTCCTGGCCTGCTGATGGACCCATAATGAACATGTGGCCTAATTATAGCAGGGGGGGTTTTAGTGAATGTAGAAAATGGTAGTTTTACGGGTTTTAGAATTGTTTTTAGTAGAGAGCAAACATTTTATTACATACATTTTAAGGGTGTTTTTATTTGTGCTCCCTGGCCTAGTAATAAACTGTTTCTGATCAGACCTGCTTCCTCTCTGTGCCCGTGGTATCTGACTCGCTTGCTCCCCCTTGTATTTTAAAGAATCTTTCTTTTTAGCGTGACATTCTGGCGCGACCGCTTTAGTGTTCGCCGCGTGCTACATCAAGGCACTTTATTAAATAAGGTAAAGACTTTACAGTAATATGGAGAAAACTGCATCAAACAATGCCCTATGAAGGAGGAAAACAGAAGACAAAATCTCTATGGGAACAACACAGGACAAAAGACACATTTAAATTTTAGATACAATTTATAGACATACGGGCGGTCCATCTTTCAAGCTCAGGTGCTCTACTAGAGACCTGGGAGCTTGAAGGTCCTGTGCAGTATCTTTGCTTTTCCTAAAACTGCACTCTCAGGACAAAGATCTCCGATGTTGTTCCTGGGATCTGCCGAAGTCACTCGCCTAGTCTGGGGGTCACTGTTCTGAGTGCTCTAATTTCCACTGTTACATTCACTCTGGTCATCTTTGCAAGTTCTTCTCTCAGCCCTTGCTACTTCTACAGCTTCTCATGTCCCTTCTTCCTAATGTTGCTGCCACTGGCATAGCTACATCTTTCACTACTAAAACTACTAAACAGATTTGTTTGCTGTACTGGGATGGATTTAAAGCAAAGAACAATTTGTTGGACTGGTGTCATGGTAATGGTGCTCATGGTCAGAGTTAGGTTACATCAAGTGTAGCAGAGATGAACTAACTAAATTCGACCTTCATACCAAATTTATACCTTCTAGTAAAAAGACAACAAACAGTGTACTCTCAGTGTAGAGAATGGAAATTATCCAGGAAAGCTCATGAAACATTTGCGTAGCACAGATCACCTGATCGAAGCCTGTACATTAAGAAAAATAGAAATTATTGTAAGTTGTAATTCTTTTCCCCACACTGAGCCACTACAACTGATTTTAGGGTTCCCCCACATCCTGAAGCCCACTTTAACCCTTTTGCTACACATTTGCCTCTTTAGAGGCAAAGTCACCCTCTGCAAAATAGGCAACAAAAAATATAGCTATTTTTCTCTTCTCATGTTCTTTAAGGTGAGTACATTTAATAGAATTAAAATTTAAGATAAGATAAGATAAAACTTTATTAATCCCTCGGGTGGGTTCCTCTGGGAAATACGGTTTCCAAAAGCACAGCACCGACAGAAGTTACAGTTACAGAATATTTTATATATATATATATATATATATATATATATATATATATATATATATATATTTAAAATATTCTGTAACTGTAACTTGTATTTTTATACCTATTTATTCTATTTATCCCCTTCATACATATATACATACATATATACATATATACACATATATATATATATATATATATATACACATATATATACGCACGCACGCACACACACACACACACACACACACACACACACACACACACACACACACACACACACACATATAAATACAGAGACATATATAAATAAAATATATGAAGGGGATAAATAGAATAAATAGGTATAAAAATAAAAATACAAGTGAATTGCACATTTCAAGTATTGAGGTCTATTGCACCATTGACTATTAACAAAAGTATTGCAAGTATTTAGCCTGAAATAAAGGTTATATTTTACTAATACCATTTTATCATAATATTAATATAGCACAAGGTTCAGTTAGCATTTCACAGAAACAGCTGGAGCTTTTTTTTTTTAAACTTTCTTACTTTGAGTACATTTCAGAGCCTGTTTTTTTTTCCAATTTTACTTGAGAAAAGAAGTTGAATCAGTACTTTAGTTTTTAATAGAGTATTTTTTAACATTAGTACCTGTACTTCTACTTAAATACACAATGTCTGTACTCTTGCCACCTCTGCGAGAATGCCCCGTTATTGTCAGGCATGCATACAAGCACATAGGGGGCATACAGACTACTGAGTACCAATTTGAGTTGTTGCAGTGAAACTTTGACAAAATGGACTAGCCTGCTAAGCGATTTTCTCACTTTGATTTTCAGTGTCTTAGAATTCAGCTCTTTGTAGGTTGCTAAATTTTATTTCTATCAAACACTGTGGTATGCTCTCTTTCCTATGACATTACCCAGTCCTTAACTGTATCCAGCATGATTTAAGGGTTCCCCCACATGCCACTGAGATCTGATGTTTCTTCAAAGTGCTCCTGTAATTTTTTTTGAGAAGTGTTTATGCTACATACAATGCGGATACACATCTTAAACATATGCAAGTAGTTTTTGATTGCTTTTTCTTTTTTTTTGCTAAAATATTGAATATACACAAGCATGTTTATGAATAAAGAAATGCCGAGATTGTGTGATAAGAAAACTATGTGCAAAAGAAAATGCATAAAAACTTGTTTAGGAGAAATGAAAGCGCCTTCAGGAGAAAGTTAGTAATCATGTGGTTGCCAGTGTTTGTATGCATGTGCATACAACAAAAGGTGGAAAAAACATTTTACATAGCAAAGGAAGGAGGATAAAATAAACAGGAAGAAAGAAAATATCTCGCTCGCTTAAGCTGCTGATGGGAATACGCTAGTATTAGGTTTAACCTTCACACTAACAATCCAATAGAATGATTAAAGTCAGTGACCTACTTTTCCTTGCCTAATTCAATCCAGCCCAAATTTACCTTGAGAAGGGGAAAAGGAGTTCCAGAACAGAAGTGGAGAATCCCCGAGGAGGGAGCACAATCTTGGGCAAATGCTATCAACAGAGAACGACACCAATAGAGATTGACAAAAGTGTGGCACAGGTAGACCTCCAGCTGAACACTTTGTTGTGGTCTTCATCAAACATTAACAGTGAGGATGAACACCATAGAGGAAAACATTGCAACATTGCGCTTGGAGAACAGCGATGATGAAAAGCCCCCAAATGCATCTGACAAGGAGTAAATATTGAATTGAAAGATAAACAAGGTGAATGTCCTTCATTATTCATGCCAATAGGGAGACAAAGAAACTTGATAGCATTGAAAACAACATGCTTTATCTGTCTCCTTCTCTCCTGGAAGACCCTCACAGACACACTACAGATGAGGTCAAAGCAAATGAACGTAGTGTTTCGGTTCTTTTACTGTTTAACTACAGCCAGCAAAAGGCACTTTTGCATTTCAACATTATCTCACATTATCAGTTTTTGGTTCCTAGTGAAATGACAGTCACACACACATGGGCTGTTTTTATGATTGGACCACAGAGCACATTCAATTTCTATTCTTGTGGTGCAGGACCTTATTGGTAGCTGCTCTGCATTCAGTGGCTCCATTATCCCTACAAATCCATGTTTGGGATGCAAGCCGGGTCCACTTTGATTTAAAGAATCTTCACCTTTCAGCAGCATTATATTACAGCACAGCAGATATGCACATGCATTCTGGACTTTGAATTGGCATATTTGAAATCTCAGAGAGTGACCCCAATGCATACTTAAATAACTATACTTAAAATAAGTTATCTATCTATCTATCTCTATCTATCTCTATCTATCTATCTATCTATCTATCTATCTATCTCTCTCTCTCTCTATCTATCTATCTATCTATCTATCTATCTATCTATCTATCTATCTATCTCTATCTATCTCTATCTATCTATCTATCTATCTATCTATCTATCTATCTATCTATCTATCTATCTATCTATCTATCTATATACACATTACATTAATTTCTATGTTTTGCCATGTTAATAGCCAAGTTTTGCATTTAAATGTAAAGTTCCCAGACAGTTGATCATAAAGATGATAATGAAAGTGTAAAATACCAACATTCCATGAGCCTTTTGTTACTTTTTCAATTTATTGCTCCATTCATCTTTTGCTTCTTAACTGAGTTTGGGTCATGGGGACAGCGGTCTAAGTAGAGAAGCCCTGACCTTATTCCCAGGCACCTCCTGTGAGACGTAATCTTTTCAGTGTGTCCTCCTTTGAGTAGAACAAACCCAAAACACCTCACCTAGGAGGTGTACAAAAGGCCTCCTTGTAAGATGCCACGTCATCTGCTCCTTTTGACATGAAGGATTAGGGATTCTATTCTGAGTCCCTCCCAAATAGCTTAAGATCTCACCCTATCAATAATGCCTGGAGGTCACCACCTGATGAGGCCAAACAGGAGAGACATGATATCCGCCACTTCGGGCAACTCTAGCAGAGTCCAACTAACACTGGGAGTGGATCTGTCTTAACTACCAGCAATGTGAATCAAGCTCTTGCTGTAGTTTTATAAGGACTAAATATCCAGTAGCAATAGGCCAGTGTTCCCATATTCCTGAGACACCCCAACATGATGCTAAGAGGGGTGTTGCTGGGCAAACTACATACACTTACCCTCCCACAGCTTTGAGATGATAAAAACTGGTTCAATGTTCAGTGACCAAACCCTCTGATCCAACTTCTTGAAAAATGTGACTACACATCTGCCAATCCATAGGCACTGCTTCCAAATTGAATGTAATGATGCAAAGGCTTGATAACCCCAGAAAGCCCTGAAAGATCCAGAGCCTTACCGAACAGGGTGAATTTTTATCAGTAAATACATTTTAAAAAATCAGACCAACTTAACCATAATTGATATAAAGTCGTGAATGGTCCTTTAAGGAAGATTTTCATTTATTATTAAATCAGTATTTTCTGTCTGCACAAAGCCAGAAGCTACTCTTGCTGAAATCCAAAAGATTTCCAGTTCAATTAACCATTTCTCTGTTTTCCATATCCATCCATCTTATTTCTTCTGCTTAACCAGTTCAGAGTCATGGGGCAGCTGGATCCTATCCCAGCTGCCATAGGGTAAGAGGCAGGGTACATCCTGGACAAGTTACCAGCCTGCCACAGGGCCAACACTGAGAAACAGACAACCATTCACACTCACTCACCAAAAGAATCACACCCCCGCTAGCATATCTTTGGACTATGGGATGAACCTGGGGTATCTGGAGAAAAACCACAGAAGCACATGGGAGAACACATGGGAGATTATGCAAACTCCAAACAGAAAGGCCCC